CAGGCAGGAGGGCGGCGGCGGCAGGGGCCGCGGTGCAGCGCGCGGCGCCGTGCAGGAGGCTGCGGCGAGCCGCGTGGCGGCATGCATTGGCGGCAGCCGCCGCCACCGCCGCCGCCGCCGCTGCCACCGCAGCTGGACCCTGCTGCCTGGCCTCACCTGGAAATTCGTCACTGATATGTCCGAGCCGGCGTGGGAGGCGTTGTCCCTGACCCGCAGCGTGAGGCGGCGTGCCCTCAGGGCATTAGACGGGCGGGCTGCAGGTGGCGCAGGCCTGCTGGCCAGTGCCAGCGGTATCATGGCTGATCGGGCGGCCTTGGGCTGCGCAAGAGGGGGCGGCTAGAGGCGTGGGCGCCGCGGATCACCACCAAAAATCGCAAACCCTTTCGTGCTGCACCCCTGGGCTCCCTGGCTGCTCTCCCGATCACGTAGAATTCAAAGGCAGCCGCCCAGGAGGTCGCCTCTGTGCGCCGCCACGCAGGCAGAAGGCCTCCCTGTCGACAAGGAAAGCAAACTGCGTCGCCGCTGGGAGCCAGCAGCATTGTTTCGACATCCCAGCGCCCCGCTGCAGTGCCCTGGCAGCTCAGTGGTCAACCCCGGCCCACGGCCACAGCCCTAAGACCGGTCCCTCTCCTCCCTTGGCCGCCTGCCGGCTTGCCTGCCACCCACCTGGTCTGCCCGGGCCGACTCGGCTGTAGAAGCGATGGCGCATGCGGCAACGGCAGCCCTCGCCGGGCTGCCACTCGCGCCGTTGCGGCTGTCGAGCTGCTTGCGCAGCAGCAGGGCGCAGACCCTAAGTAGCCACCGCGGCGTGCCCAGGGTGCAGCGGTCGGGGCTCAGGGTGCGGGCGGTGGCGGAGGCGGAGCGGCCGCCAGCGGAGCGCACCACTGATGGCGGTGCGGGCGGCACCTCCATCACCGTGGACAACTCGGATGCAGCCTCCACCATCATCACCGTGCAGGGCACCAACCGCCCAGGTGTGTGCGGGGCGGGGAGCAAGGCCCCGCAAGGCATCTGCCGCCTGCCCACCTGCCGTGACGTGCTTGCTGTGCCGCCGCCGCTGGTGGCGGCGGCGGCGGCGGCGGCGGCGGCCCGTGGTTCTGCAGCTGGCAGCACAGGCAGCCCTGCCGCTGCCTCCCGCGGCCGCTGTGCCGCCTGCGTCACGCCCACGCTCGCGCCTCAAGCCCTTGCCCC